GTGTGTGTGTGTGTGTGTGTGTGTGTGTGTGTACATGAACCTTTGTTTTCTGTCGTCCAGTTGCTCAGAAGACGACTGAACAGGCCAATGTTGTTGCCGACACTGCGGTCACCGGGGCCAACGAAGTCGCCCAGGCAGCGGTGGAGGGGGTGGAGAGTGCAGCTGTGGCGAGCGGGTTTGTCAGCACGGTGAGTGACATCACATCACATGACCCAAGAGAAGCTGTGTGGAATTGTTGGATTTTAGTGAATTTCATAATTAGGTGTGAAACGTATGTCTCCCTCTTCTGGAGGTGAGAGTAACGACACGAACACAGATATTCAGATACAGATTTTCCTTCCTCTTGATGCAGTTTGGTTTTCTGGAGCATCAGGAACGTTTCTTAAACAATAATTTTAGGTTATTTAAATTCTAAATAGCATTTTATTAAACAAAGGTTTAGTGTTCATGGAATATTAGACGAGTACAAGTTTTTCAAGAAAATATTTTCACTGAACTAAATTTTTTTTCTGCAAAGGAACGGAAACTTAAAATATTTCTCCTGTGAAGGTTCAGTGTCTCAGATTTAGTGACATCTAGTGGTGAAGGGGGTGAAACATGGTGGTGCAACATGGCGACTCTGAGGAGGAGGAGCCACCTGATAAACAAATAAAGACTGATTCTGATTAAACACTGAAGAAACGTCACAGATTAGATTATTGATTATGTTTTATTTGTGAGTTCATTAACGAGACAGAATACACACTGAACTCATGTTTTCATCCGTGTTGATGACTTTCACTTTTTGTCTCTCTTCATTCACAAATATCTGGTGATTGGCGGGGAACAGGAGGAGGCGGGACCAGTGGCTGAGGAGGTGCCTGATTGGTTGGGGGGGATGAGCGACTAACTGATTGCATGGCTTGATGCTCGTAGTCTGAGAGGATTTTCTGACTGCAAACATTTCGTCAGTACTTCATCAACGCTTTTCCCAATTTTTCAAAATGGGAAGAAAAACCCAGAATGCACCTGAAAAAGCTTCAGTTTCTCTAAACGGGATCTGAGCCGGAACCTAACTGAAACACATCGTCTGGGATTTGAGTGGCTGTGAAGAAAACGTGTTAGATAATAAATGCATCTCACAGTTACCATCAATTAAAACCAAAAGTGTTATTTGATCTCAGTTCTCATCGTAACACTTTGTCATCAGGAACTAAAACTGAACTCTGACATGTTTTTATGAGTTCATACTTTCTCTATAAATATTAAGGAACAACCTGATAAACGGTTCATATCAGCATGTGATGATGTTTTTCATTTAAGTTTGCACAACTAACAAACATGAAGGAGGAGGGGCTCCGAGCGCTGAGCACTTCCTGCTCTGGACTCACAGTGTCAAGGTCTCCAGCTGTTTGTTCAACTAAAGATCAGGTTGAAGGTTTCCAGGAACATGAAACGGATTCAGTTCACATGAACTCACGGTTGTTTCCGCTTCATCGCTCCTCTCCACTCGTTTTTAACTTTCTTTTCACAACGTTCTTCAGATCAGGGATTGTAAATAAAGATGGCCGACATGATGCCTCCCTAAAGGAAAGCAAAACTTTGTGGATCGCCCCCTGGTGTCTGGCTGCAGCATAGGTGATAAACCTCCTCCGTGTTAGCAGATGGGACATGGACCAAATTAAAAAATCAGAGTAGATGTTAAATAAATGTTTGTTAAGGATGTTTCTGTCATTTCAGGTCGTTTGTATCTCAATGATGTTTGTTCAAGTGTTTCTGATCAGTTTGGTTTGAATCAAGAGACGTCATTCCTCTGCTAAAGGAGATAGGTTAGGAAGCAGGGAGGCTCCTTTCCTTTCATAAAGGATGGTCCCATGTTTCCTCTGCTAAAGGAGATATGTTAGGAAGCAGGGAGGCTCCTTTCCTTTCATAAAGGATGGTCTGATGTTTCCTCTGCTAAAGGAGATAGGTTAGGAAGCAGGGAGCTCCTTTCCTTTCATAAAGGATGGTCCGATGTTTCCTCTGCTAAAGGAGATATGTTAGGAAGCAGGGAGGCTCCTTTCCTTTCATAAAGGATGGTCC